GACAGCTGCTGCATAGCTCCATTGTCTTGGCAAACTTTGGTACGTCCAAAATTGATAAATATGGCATGGAGCTTTTCTATTATTCCAGTTTCTCAATACTTAATAAACTCCAGAGAAATTCGATCGAACCTGCAGGCCTTCTTCACTCTGAGGTGCAACAAGACTTTTCGGATTTCTAGTCTTGTCGATGAATATTTACTAGCTTATAATTTCGGAAGAGAATTAACGGTCGGAAATGACTAATCTGCAGGGGCAACCATTGAACAGCTGCTGGATATTGTCAACCCATCTTTCGAGACACTCTTTCTGACTCGACAATGATACACCTTTAGCGTCTTCGACAAGGACAGTTAGAGTCGCTTGTTTGCCAGACAGTGCCACATACTTTGAGCACTGTTCGTCCATCACCAATTTTAAATGCTTTATCGATCTTCATGATCTCTCCATTCACCCAAATTCTCTGTCTCGCCTGCAGCTCTGGTTGACTGCACGAATGAGACAACGATGAGCTGCCTTTGAGGGTGCAGTAAGGTGTTGGCCGTACTCTTTTCCGCCTGATTCCTCTGCACTCTAAGGGCTAAGGTCTTCTCCGTAAGCCGGAGCAGTCTGACTATTCTCCTCTTGATCCTAAGTACGTTGACCTCCAAGAAAATGACGGCTAAACTGAAGTCTTTGCAATGTTTATCGACGTTTTCATTTCCCAACTGTACACTAAGGACAGTATTGAAATAAATGTCTACCTCCCTTTGGTAGGCAGACGGGACTGCTTCGTCATATTTTAGTCCGTCAACACCGGTATGTATATTAACCAGATGCGTCGATGCAACACGGCTAATCCTATACGAAGTTCCGCTACAACCATATGCCGATGAAACCCAATGCAAGCGCTACTACTGATGCAAGTCTCGATTAATGAGGCTGCACCATCGGCACTTGATGAAAACGTGGTTCAGCTAGGAGTTTAGGAGAATTTAGGCTTCCATCGGGGATGTCCACATGGTTTGGCTAATAAGCTTATGAAGAAAATGGGTCATGTCGACGATTAAGCAGATTTTAACGCAAAAGCTGAACAAAGGGTGCCTGCATTGTCATTAATCGACCATGACGGTCGAATACGCATGGAGTATCATTATTTCATAAAATGCATTTCCACAGTCGCAGGAAGTGTTTAGATCGAGCAAAAATTCGCGAATCTTGGCGGTCGAATCGCTTTCTCAAACGGGATTCTAGCCGATAACAGCGTCATTGACGGCCTGTACACATCTTGCATCGTTTTCACGTCTTCATACGTAGTCATTCCGGTGTTCGAGGGTAGACACGATTCTCGAAGGTTTGAAACGTTTCTGCTCGTATGCACGCCAGTAGCCAAGTTCTGTTGATCCAACTGCCTGCAGCGTGTAGCCACCACACAAGCCATTCCCTCAACATACTTGTTCGAACTGCGCGATGCATGCATCTAACGTCGAATGCTCTAAAGGAGAACTTCCACCTCTTCCGGCTGATTTCTTCTGGTGATTCTGCCATACTGAATCGCTGAGGAGAAGGCCCAGGTGTTCGACCGACGTGTCTTCGTTCTGATCTCGAAAAATCCTATGTAATATTTGGATCCTGCAAGAATATGTAGCAACGAGAGGTTATACTCCCCTTATTTTACAATTCCAATTACTAAACATTTAGCGATATCAATAATCAAATATTTAGCGCTGACAACGCGCCAATATGCGCACTTTGTTACATATGGCTGCGGCCCGCGCACCTGCGGCCATTGTCCAGAATGTAGGCCACATTATGCTGTTTGTGACTGTTGTACATCGCTGTTATTCTGTCTATGCGAAACTATGATCAACCTGTCGAATTACGTAATTAATTTTATTTCTTAACCTACATATCTGTTTGCTAACGTACAATTGT